TTGCTTAACTGATTTCTACTAATAAAGACCTTTAAATTTATGTGCATACGGACCTATGCTTAAGTATATGATATTCTTCCTAATTCTAGCAGGCATCTGAGGAAGTGGTGTATAACAGCACTGCAAATTTAATGAATCATTGAACGGCTGTAATTTTTTACTCGGTTGAGTTCCGGTTTGCGGCAATGTGCTCTACTATTTTAAGACCTTTTAGTTTGATACCATACTCTACCTATGCTGCTATTTAAGAATTTTGTCTGACTCCCCATAGGCCGTGCCCTCCTTAAGGGATAAAAAAGTAATAATAGCTTAAAAGAGCAGACATTTATCGTTATTATTGATATATTATAAAAAATATATTTTGCCGTACCGAGACTTTTCTATGACACTGTATCAAAAATGTATATGTAAAATTAATCTGTTATGTATATATATATAATTAAAGAGGTTGGCGGTCTCTTTTAACCTTGCATTTGCCCGTCCACATAGACTAACCGCCCGTGCGTGGATTGTATACAGTAAAGCAAGGAGTGAGCCGGTACAGTACAAAGGTGATCTGTACTGATAAAATGTTTTCTGCACTAACCAGGATCCGAACCCACAACATCGCTGCCTTGGGCCCTAAGTCCCCGACGCTACCGACTGAGTCACTGACTCACTGTTCAATTAAAACCCATTAACAATTTCAATGTTCTGGATAACTCGACAACCTCTAGGTCCGCAAATAGACGAGTTAGTGAGGTAGTGTACAAAAAAATTGATGAGGTACCAGAAAAGACACAGATAAATAATTAATTCTATGAGGACTGTATAGAGGAAACAACTAACTGTTGAAACAAGTGAAAATGTCAACAAGCTGAAGCTCTCAAGTGTTGGGTATGACAATGTTAACAAAACAACGTTGTGGAATTTTGATTTGTCTGATGTTTTGACTGATCAAAAAGAATACTTCCTAGAGGAAGTGTAAATATTAAATATCAGGGGCATTTACAATAGCGCAGAAGATAGCAAGAATGAGGTAATGTGAAAATAGTTTGTTAGTGGTGTAATAGGTGAAAATTAGGCCTGTTCATTTAATCTTAATTCTAGTCAAGACCTTTTTTCTTTGCACTAGCCAAGGCCTCACTAGAAAAAAAGGCCATATGCTTCAGGCCAAGTTTAACGCGGTAAAAAAGTGTGTGTATTCGGCAGAACTTAGTAATTTAGGTCTGTAATTCAGCCAGCGCAATCTGTCGGTGGCTCACATCAACTAAGACGATTTTGAAAAAAATCTGGCTACAAATATAACATGATGATGGATTGTCTAGTTGTATTATTAATAGTAAAAAGGTACAACTATCCACCACTGTGACGTAGTGTTGCGTTGCCCACACTGCAGCATGGTCTTTTTAGCGAATTTCCCATATAGGGGATAAGCTTTTACTGTAGGTCTTATAGTAAGACCTAGACCCGGGACTGATTTACTTTTTCATTTTGAGGTGCTCAGAGGCAAAAAACACCCTCCGTTTAGATTAATTTATATATATGTATTTATGCAAATATTTTTATCTTACCAAAAGAGAGGTACCAGAACTCCGCTCCGCCAAATCGAGCACTATATAGCGCAATAACTCGAGCAAAAATGATCTGATTTTCATCAAATTTGGTTGAAAATTTGTGAATTTTTATCTCTATGTGCTCGCTAGGGTCACATCTAGTGCCTAATTCAATAGAACATTCTTCAATATTTTTATAATCCAGAACTTTGAACAGAAGATCTGTGAAAATAATTTTGAAGGCGCAACAAGCTAAAACAACTGTACTGTATCAATATTTTCCAATTTCAAATTAATAGTTGTTTGGAAAATACAAAATATTGATAACAAAATGAAAGTATTTTCAGCGACTCTTGCTCTTGCTTGGCTGCTACTTTAGTCGCAACTACTACTCGCCAGCAAAATATACTCTTGAGTTCACACATGGCGAGTTGTAGCGGCTACTTCAGTTTTGTTGTGTTTACTCTGCTGAGGAAAATATCATCGGTGGGATTAAAAATGGAGGATTTAGACGTCTGTAGCGGTATTTTCTCACCACAATAAATTTGGAGGTTGCTTAACTTTTTTGCAAAAAAAATTTAAATTGTGAGGAAATCGACCAAAGTGGAAGGTGATATTCTGAAAGAAAATACAATTTCATACAAATCATTTAAGTGTATTTCTTGAAAATGCTCAATAAATGCAGCGTAAACTTGCCTAGAAATAGGAACTCTGAAGAAGCCCTTTTTAATGTATTAAATAAGTATAGATTCTTGTATTTTTCTTTCTTTACTGCAGATAGTTATTGAAATGAAACTTTCATGAATATTTGCGAAACTACATGAATTAAACTTTCCAACGACCCATTGAATAATAAAATTGGTCCAGCAAAATTGTAGATTTAGTAGTTGTACGATGTTTAAAACTGAATTTGCTAAGAGTAGATTACAACTTTGGATTGAACAACAGTTATTTCCAAAATGACATTTTATGGCTAAAACACTCTATACAGCTATAAAGGCTCGTTCACACTTGCGACTAACACGCCGCAACTTAGTCGCAGCTACTACTCGCCAGCAAAATATAATCTGAGTTGGCGAGTTGTAGCAGCTACTTTGGTTTGGTTTAGTTTACTCTGCTGAGGAAAATGCCATCTGTGGGATTAAAAAGGGAGGATTTAATGAGAACAAACCACATAGGACCTCAATTCAATATTATGGGATTATGACATCGATATGGGCAACAATTTACAAAATATAAACTAAAATAGGATATTTTGCTCTGTTTCAGCCTAAGGAACATCATTTTTGGACAAGATTTTGATGAAAGAAAGAAGTTGATGTTGTAATTGCATCAGCCTCCCTTACTCCTTCAGCTTCATCCCATCGATTGTCTAGCTCATACAGTAGACCTACCTCATCTCTGAACAGAGCATAAGCACAGAGTTTACCTAAATAAGAGGAAGTTTCATCAAAAAGAAAAATGAAGGAGTTGGTTTGGTCAGTAAGAAAATACAATCCTCAGACAATAAAGATGCTTCTGATGGATTTGGCATTTGTGCTAATAAACTATGTACTTTTCGAGGCGGAAATGGAGAGTCTGACAAAGGCTTGCAAGAAAATTACCCCTGGAACAATACGCTCTATATTATTGTTTGTCTAAGTACTAGTAGAATCTCAATCGTTTGGACATTAGGTCACACAACAGTCACAACACCAACCTTTCTCAGTGGAATTCTAATTTAAAGTTACTGTAGGGTAATAATATTGTGTAACGACTTGTGGCATGTCAATTTTAATAATATACGTTACGTATGTATCTATAACTATCATAAACAATTAGTGCTTGTGTTATTTTTCAAATACAACTGTTTAAGAGTTTGAATTACCTTTATAATCCTTTTTAGCAACTTGTAGATAGCTTAAGACTAATACCGAAACCTTACTTCGGCTGACGTTAACCGAAACCCCTGGTTTGTGAGATCCCATTTGAAAAATAATGGAACCCGCGTAGAAACACACAAACCGAAACCCTGGGACTGTGAGACCCTGCTTTAAAATACACTAACGCTGGGCTTCTGAGACAAACATGTTATGAACAGACAACCTGTCAAGGTCATGGCACCCATTCAAAATGAACAAACACTATATCAATAGGTAGGGGAGGAAAAGGGGGGGAAGGTATAAACAGTGTTGCCGACATGCGTTTTTGAAAGTTCCCGTGGGTCTGTCAGACCGAGGTTTTGGTATTAGTGTTAACAGGAATCAGGAACTATTCCATTTAAAAAAGTACCGTTTCAGCTATGATATTATTGTTGTGTACTCCATGTCCTTATAACTTCTAGTCGCTGACTAGAAAGTCTTTCATGGGGTTAAATTGCCTTTCTCATTCAGATATTTTGTTTGAGGATATAATAAATGTAATCACCAATTGCAACAAATTATTGTACAATAGTTTGTCTATTCTTAAATTTTCCAACCTTCTCAATACCTAGTGAATCTTACCTTCAATTACATTGTCTGTTACCCAAGTTCTTCAAAAAGCTCGATTCAATCTGTGACTATATTCAACCTATGACAAGTGTAGTGTTTATCATTGAAAATAAAAATAAAAAAAATTGACTTGCAAGTTTAAATAATAACAGGCTGTAACAAGAAAATTTTTAATCACAAGCAAAATTTAGGTTATGGTGGTAAGTTAAAATAGTCATTTATTTAATGAAACAAATCATAATGGATTGTTTGGTAGCTGACATGTCTGAAGATCATAACTTACTACTTCTGCAATGCTACAACTCAGGTGGCCTAGCTCATTTTTCAATTGACTTAATTTTGATTAACCTTGGTTTCTGTTTAATAAGGTGCGGTATAAGGAAGGAAAGAAGAAATCCCAGCCTCCTCCGTCACCATAGCTGGCCAAGTTCTCTCGAGCCACTTTCTTTTTTTCCTTGCTGTATACTTTTTATTATTGGATTTTATTGAGTTTAGTAGAGTTTACTAAATTAAGCTTTTAACTTAGGAAAGACTTAACTTGAGACAACTCCAAACATTATTATGCAGTAACAATAGCCTATTAGGCTATTTATATTCCAATTTGAGTTGTAATAATAAAGTTTTAACATTTCAATATACACTACTGTTGCAACAAAAGCCTACAAATATTAAATTCAATTATAAGATACAGTAGGGAAAGATTGTATTGAACTATTACAAACTCAAAACTCATTAAACTTATACAGCTGTAATAAATTAAATTGCCGTGCATTTGTGAAAAACTGAAAAATCCTGAAAATTGTTACAATAGTCGGGTTAAAACCGACTAGAGCATTGAAAAGTCCCATCAAATCCATCCATCATTGGGGATTTCCATGACTTTTTGCCTATTTCCATGACTTTCAATGACCAGAATTTTTTCCCATGACTATCTCTTTCCAGAATGTGGACACCCAGTTGAAGTATTATGAGGTGTAAACAAAAATTCACAGTGTATAAATAAAAAACAATTTATTATTTTGTTTATTCATTCTCCTCACTGCGGAGTCGGGCGTTGGCATTGGTTACTCTGATCGACAGTTGCTGTGCTCGCTCCACAATAGCCTTGCGCTTCTTGGACGACACAGCGTGCGCGATCTCTGCGCAGTACTTGCGGTTCTGCATCATCAGTACTTCAAGCTCCTGCAAAAAATTACAAGATAAAATTATATTCAGCCAACAATAAATCTCTTTCTGTCTGGCAATATGAAACCCAATATTATATGAACCCTTTGATAATACTTTTTCATACCTGTATTTTGTTTCGCGTTTTTTTACAAATTTATTTAATTTTCTCTTTGTTTCAGACATTATGATAAATTAATTTTGACACTACAGTACAAAATCACCCGTCTTATCGGACACCTTTTAACCAGTCATCGGTTTGACCGGACTACACTCGGTAGAAGTGACATCTCTTTATCCGGATAATTTTTATCACCACATCGGTTTAACTGAACTAGATTGGCAGGAAGTGGGCGGTACTGAAACGACTGTTCTCGTGGGAAAGATTTGAGACCAGTGATTACGTGTCTAAATACAATGCTCTCCTGTCAAATACTGTATAGAGTATGCATTTAAACGGTCCGTTTTAACAACATTTTGGGGACGTCGGTTTAACCGGAAAAATAGTTATCTGGACTGGCCTCGGTCCCGAGGAGACCGGATAAGAGGGAGTCTACTGTATTAATGTATGTATTATACGCTACTTACAAATAAAGATTATTTGAATTTAAATTTGAATAAACATTATTTTAATTGTTTGGTTATAGCTCAAAGGAAGTAACTTCAACAGTTAATTCCTCTATCTGATAACCAGTGTTGATGTAGCAAAGTACTTTGAGTATCCCACAAATATGCAGATACTCTTAGACCACTCTGCAAGGATAGGGTACAAATACTACAAGCCCTAAACAGGTCTAACATCTGAATTAAAAATTATACGGTAAAGCAATATTTCTGGAAATCAATCTTAAAAGATTCATTATTTGTTAATTATAGACATGGGTGGTCTTAAGAACCAAGATTATATAGTTAGGGCTGCACCTTTTCACCTTGCATTACCTGCAAGTTGTAATGTCGCTATTCACTGTTAAAGTGCTATAGGCCTACATTAAATTGTCAACAGCTCCCACAATCACGGAACTATTGTCCACATTAATAATATTATTTTTGATGGAATAGACTTTTATCTAGTAGGCCCTAAATACAAAGAGAATTACAGATATATCTCAATAAATAAAGTTTTTTGTAATACTTAGAAAAGGTCTACAACATTTGTAAAACTAAGGGTACTTTCGTATTATCCGGAGGCCACTTAGAGATTTTTTTTACCGGAGACCAAAAATAACGACATTGGGAAGAACATACTGAAATTGACCAAATTTGACATGATTACGATAAGTGGCCTTTGAGTTCTATCTCCAGCGATGTCGACAAGGATTGTGTTGAATATGTCGCCACCATTATACTACGCCAAGTAGGTATACAGGGCGCTGCGGCGGTTATGTTAGGTTGGGTTATCATAAATATGTAAATTGTATTGTCTTTCCTCGTTTCGTTATGAATCTAACTGTAGTGTATACAATAATAATGTACCATAATGTTGCCATTTTTACGATATTTAGATTTGTGTTATAAAGAGTTGGCAATATGTTTTGCGTGTCCTGACTGCGATCAGGCGACTGTGACGTCATATCGTATGATTTCAATAAAGCTCCCGGATTGTCTACAATCCATCACGCCACTTTTCCCTCCACGTTTAACCGCCGATCCAAAAGCTTCCTTGCTCTCCAGTCCCTCAAGATTCCAGCAAACCGTAAACATGTAGTCGACCGGGTTTTATTTAATTCCCCAAATGGTGTTTTTATTTCAAGTCATTGCACCCCAAACGTTCCACAAACGATACCAGATGAGTCAGTACATTCGCCCGCCAAATACCCCAGATACATGTGATGCGCGCGCTCTGGTCAATGATCAGACCTTGGCCTACTTGAAGGCAATTTGGCGTGACTTCTCTAGTATGACTCCTCTGGTATCGTTCGATTCATAACGAAACGAGACAAGTCCTACAAACATCTTTATAATGACCCAACCTAATGTGGCCGCCGGTAATACCAAAGCACCAAATTAAGTCATTAAGTCCTGCCTGAGGGTCTGCGCTCATTACAAAAACTACTAGGTTACCCCAATAGGTTGATAGAGGTTCCACTGCACAAGTAATTTGAAAGATGTTACAACAAAATATCAACGGTTTTGTCAATTGCATTTACCTCTCCAAATGATGCTAATTCATTATGTCTAGTTTAGACATTATATTTTTTTAAGCACTCCATAACATCACATCGCGATTGTGTAGTTATATTCTAAAACCACCAGTGCTGATTATTTCAGAAAATTTTTAACAACAACCACAAACTTACCTTGACATTGTGAACCAAGACTTTGCGGAAGCCGGTGGGCAACATGTGTTTCGTCTTCTTGTTGCTTCCGTAACCAATGGAGGGCATCAAATACTGACCCTTGAACCTTCTCCTCACTCTGTTGTCAATACCCTTGGGCTTCCTCCAGCTTTTCTGAAAAACAATAAAAAGAGGTTTATTGTACTGAACAGTCATAGGCCTCATACTGAACAAATTAAAATCCATCAAGATGAATCTCTTAACCAGGGTTTATGAATATTTTTGGATCCGTTATCGATAGAAGATTTACCTACTAAAACAAGTAGACAAATACAAAACTCACCAAAACAAAACAAGCCCCCTCGGTATATCACAATTACGGCTGACAAAGGATTTTAAAAACAGCCATAAATAGCTCAAGTGAAACATTTGGGGTACTCTTAGATGTAAATTAAGTTTAGTACCGTATTATCACTTCATTGTCTAAGGATCATTGGACGGAATAGGATAGCACAAGATCAAAGCAGCTAATATTGTCCGTAATCACCTCAGCTAATACCCCACAAATAGATGATTGGATAGTGACTTGATTTGTGGTAAATTGGAAATGTAGGCCTGACCACATAAGTCTAGATGGATGAGTAAAATAGATCTAGCCTATCAAATAAAATACTAGATCACACTAACTATGTTATGTTGCTTTCTGTGAGTACAATGTTAATTTTACAAACTAAGTACCATAGGCCTACTCGCAACCAAGGCTAAAATGAGCATTACAGTAGAACCCCTCATATCCGGCCACCACGGGACCAAGCCCCTGGCCGGATAGCGATTTGGCCGGATAAACCAACCTACTATGAAAATGAAAATGATTCATACCTATAATAATATTTAATCAATACATGCTGTCAAAAGTATCATTTAAGTCTATTCTAGGATTATTTTTTGAAGAATTAACATTTTTGTACAAAAAAAGATATTTGTAGGCTATAGTTGTTAAGGAATGAACGTACGAGTATTAAGATTTCAGGTAACAAAAACTATTAAATGATGGATGTAAAAGTTACATTCAATCAGCCTTGAAGATTTTTAGGACCTTAATAGTAAACACAATTCTACTCAACTTTCTTATCCATTTTGTGAAATAAATACAAAGATTAATTTCCCAACCCCCCACTGTTTAGAGGTTAGGCCTAGTTCAACTGAGTTTAGTGACACAGTAAAATATATTGAAACAAACAGATAAATAGTTCAGATAAATAGTTTAGCTCAAACAAGTCGCAAAGACTAGTGGTGCATCTAAACGTCTGTAAGCTTTGAGAAAAACATTTTGATATTGACTTCCTGGAAGTGGCCGGATAAACAGAGGACCGGAAAAACCAAGGCCGGATATCAGGGGTTCTACTGTATGATCAAAATAATGTAATAAAATCAACTCACCCTCAACTTGATGTAACGATCACTCTGATGTCTGATGAACCTCTTGGTCCTCTTTTTGACGATCTTGGGACGATATACGGGTCTTATAGCCATGTTGATAGGTCTGAAAGTAGAGACAATTTTTTAGGCCTATACAAATACAGAGACTTACTTATTAAAAGTTCATCTCGGAGGAACAAAGATTTCAATCCTCAATGCTGATGTCACGAGGTACAGTAGAACCTCTTTAATCCGAACGTCCACTAATCCGAACCCCTCATTGCTGTAGGTACACTATAGGCCTACACAGTATAGCAGTTCTTTATTGTATACTGTATTTAATTTACAGTAGGCCTAGGTACTGTTTATTCACCATCAATTTACTACTGTATTAAATATACACTGTATTTTACTTTATAAAACATTTTTTCACTTTTCCCAAAATAATTTTGATCAATTTTAGCCATGTTTTAGCTATTGTTATGTAAAAACAACAATATGTTCTGTAATCCGAACTATTCAATAGTCCAAACTACCTTTGGTCCCAATTAGTTCGGATTACAGAGGTTCTATTAGGTACCAAGATTCATATTTTCAGGTTTAATTTTCATCTTCATGTAAGTTGCGCCAATATTTAAACACGTCAACTGAAAATACTCGTCATTCTTCCATCAAACTTATTCCTAGGATTGTACATTTAATTTACCGTATCTAGGTAGGACTGTCTTATTATAAAACTTAAGCCTAGCCTTTTATCTGTCCATTTTAGTAAATTTCTCATCTGAATAATATATTAGGTACCGTAGGTCTCATGGTAAGACCTAGACCACTTTAACTTGTTCGTTTTGATGTCTCCCCAGAGACCAAAATCACCATCCAAAAATGTTGATATAGGCCTAATAAATATTAAACGTGCCACTTAGCATAGGCGCTCTAAATGAGGCCATGAGGCCTATTTTGTATTTTGAAAGCCTATTTAGGGTGATGCTTAACTCACTATTTCAATAACTTGGTGCAAAAATATTCTGGAGGTAACAATTAACAACTTTGGAACATCTAAGCTTTACCTCCCTATCCCTAAATTATTTTAGGCCTACCTAACTCACAAATCCGTATAACTTAAAGCCCGGCCTACTTTCCTCACAAGCCTAAATAGGAACTGATTTAAGTTAGTTTACAACAATCAAGGCTCAGTTAAAACTCAGTAATAGGCCCTAATGCATTACCGATAACTTACTTAACCCTCCGAGTGTCCCTTGTTTTGGCCTTAATGTCTGCCTATTTTTAGCTCATTTGCAAGGTTTTATTAAAACGGATCTGAGAAGCTTAAAAACAATGTTAATTATACTGTTCTATATACCATTTTGTTTGGAAAACCATGGGCTTCAATATTATATATAAAACATAAGAAACATTTGTTTAAAAACAATTTTTTAGGTAAAAAAAAAAATATTTTGGAAAATTTTCAACAAAAAAAAAGTTTGCGCTCAATGAAATTATATAAATTATAGGCCTATAAATATTTGAAAATAGCCACTTTGTTCTAAATTTTATGAGGATTACAAATACGGTATATAATCATATAGTGAGGTAAGTTATCAAATAAATAAGTTATGAGTGAAAAACAGATTTCAGTACATTGCGTTTAGCTAAGAATGCATAGCCTAAGTAACCATAGCTAGGAATCTGGCTGATAATTTGCATCGATATCACTACCTACTTCTTCAGGATCATCAACCAGCCCTTCAAAATCACTTAAATCTTCTTATAATGCACCACGTATATCACTACTTTTGATTAACACTAAAACAATGATAAACGTAATAAAACACATCAGTCATCGGTCCGAGGATAACCAAGATGTTTACAATTACGCATGTCAGCTGTCTGCTACAATTACGATCGGCTCGGAGAACATACAGCGCTGAGACAGACCTCTGGAGAAAGCTTATAATTTAACGAAAAGAACGATACCTAACTTGATCCAGTTCATTCCGATTCAGTCAGTCATAGAGCCATTGCCGTAAACAGTGTTCGTGAGTCGCTGCAGCGACGCATGACACTCGGAGGGTTAATTGTTTGTGATTATTGTCTTGCGGTTTTTTCTGTTTTCCTTTAGTTTGTGATTAGTGTAGGTACACATAACTCACCAGCAAACTTAATGGCGACATTGACAAGCAGACAAGAATTACAACAAAATATCGGTTGTAGCATAGTTTACGTAGGCTATTAAAGTTTTAATCCCCGCAGAAACATTTGAGCAATTTTGATTTTAAGTAAAAGTGTTTAGCCTAAGTAGATTTTGGTGGTTTAAATTATAAATTGCTAGGCTATTACTGCATTTGGCAAGTGTTTGGAATGTAGCACTGCTCGCTGGGGAGTGAATGTTAGGGCCAGGCTGGTTCTTTACACCTTTATACTAGGCCTATGTATTAATCGTTGACCAGTAGGCCTAATGACTGGATAGATTGTCAAAAGAAAGTTTTTTGTCAACAGTGGGTCCACAGTGGACCCACTGCAGCGCAGCCTTGGAAATGGTGTCAACATTCGGGTCCATTCAAACTCATTTGTAGGCAAAGTTAATTAATTTGATCGTGGAATGATAGTTAACGAGTTAAAAGCCCCCGAAAATCGTGCCAACCTCTGCCACCATTTCGTCATCGAGATCAAAACCCTAAATCAAGAACTGTCTATGTTTAGAATGCTGGGAAGCGACTGAGGGGAGGGCATGTGAACCAGCCTTTTACGATGACACATTCTGTCACACTTGCTCTTTTCCTATGGGCTATAACGCCTAGTCCCATTAGACTGGGAGAGGTGCTTCACCACAAACATTCACTGAATGCAGTACCTATACAGTATAGATACCCATGGTTGTCCCCGTTGTCAAACAACCGTTGCTCCACCTCTAGTTGTGAAATACGTTAACCGAAAAGTTGACATAGCCTATGCCAAGCCAGAAACAAAATCATCAGTTAACTTTACCTAATGTGGGTTCAACTAAGTTTTACTCACGGCATGGTAGGCATATGTTTATGTAAGTTAGTGAATATAATTCAAGAGCCATGAAAATGTGATATAAGCTCTTATATCGAGCAATTTTGGATCTTTTATAACATAAAGAGACATTGCAGTGTAGGAACCTAGGCCTAGGCATTCTACTTTCAGGTTAGGTCCTAATTGTAACTGTTATTCGCAAGAAACTTGTTCTGTGCAAAACAGAAATAAATGTTCAAAATTTAAAAGAGTGTTCATAATTGAATTACTACTTAAAAATGAGGGATTAACTAAATAGAGATTGATAAAATATGTTAAAATTTTAACAAGGCAACTTACGTTTGGCTATCAACTAGAACTTTACTCAGGAAAGAAGAAGTAAAATGTGGATTTATAGAGTAGTCACTAGTCAGTCAGCAGAGTGGAGTAGAGCGAGTGTTGCAGCGAATTTCTTATTATTTGTTGGCTGTTTATACTTTGTACCATGAAGCTTACTTGTTACTTACAATACTCAAAGCTCAAAGCTGTTTGGAAAAAAATATATAATCATACACTGGTCATCATTGATAAGATACATTTAGTTTGTCTGTGGCTTTATTGTATTTTAAAATCTGGATGCAGTATGGCACTATAACAAGTGAGTAATTAAATTTTTAACAAAAAACACGGTAAACTCTTGAAAAATCTCTAATGGATGTCAAAAACGAAAAGAATTCTTGTGAAGCACCCAACATTTCTGCTGGTCTTATTCTCTGCCAAGTATAAAACTATTTTACTGTTCCACGTGTAGAGTTTTGATCCATAGGCAATATACTATTTGAAATGAACGAACCATGTACGATATATTTATAACTTAAACTACCTACTAACACAAATAAATAAACAAATATTACTTGGTTAGCCAGTGGAAAATTATGCTTAATAAAAAAATGTTTTATAGCCTAGGTGCCTGAGCAGAAAATTCAGTCTAGAAACTTTTTCATACAAAGTTTGCTTGATCATTAAAACCAAAACTACTTCTAATTAGAAAGTTCAAAAGCTTTTGGGGTCATTTCATGATTCCAAGTAAATTTATTTTCAAGTGTAACGCTTACTTCCAAATAATCAGAACTCCTATATAACTAAACATATTTTCCGAACTCTTAAATCCACAGTAGGCTAATCGAAAACCCAACGGAAATTCGATCAGTGAACTAAACAGAGTTAAGTTAAATAAACAAACGGTTTTATTAGTTTATACAGTAGATAAAACTCAGTCCCTTGTTTCATTTATGTTTAAACGCAACTGTTAAAAAATCAAGTAAATTAGTTCGGTACAGTGAACCACAAGTGAAGGGTTCTCTGTCATGTGCGGAGAAGGGGCTAGGATTATGCCAGCTGCTGTGCTGCCTCATGCATTGACGATCTTATAGATGTGGCACAATGAGCAAGATGCAATAGGGAAGAAGGCTGCACCCCAGATATGGTCCTGAAATAATTAAAATGTAACAATATATTAGTATGATGACATTTTAAATGCAATTTTTGCCATAAAAAATAAGCTGTATTTTAATTTTTACTGCTTGTAACAAAAGCATGCATGTAATCATAAGTAAACAGTAACTTATAATTACTCAATATTGTCTCTCACATTCCTAGTATCAGCGGCATTGAGTTCATTCGTAATTACAGGTACAATCGCTACGTTTTTCGGCTTTTCGTCCAACTTATTCCTAACAATCTTAGCAATCTCAGCTTTTCCTGGCTGTCTCAAAGATCTTCTTATTTTCAGACGTAGCTTGGAATCACTCTTGCAGATATTAAACCATATTTTGTTAACGAATGCTACATTTAGAAGGGGGGTTTTCTGGGGAGAATCCTAAAAAGCAATAAATCGAATAAATCAGTTAAATCTAAAAACCTTAAATAATCAATAAATTTATACAAATGATAACCATTAAAAAAAAATCACGGCGGCCAAGGTTATAATATTTTATACTCTGCCTTTATTTCTTTCCTTTTGTTATAGATTGCTAATCACATGTTATTTATTATTTTGTTTTTGAAATTGACTGTTTGTACATAACTCATACTCATAAAATGTTTCAAGTGTGATTAGTGAATTATTCAAGCCTTGTTTTCTTCAGGTAAATATTCTCATTTCTAACAACCTACGAAATAAAATACTGTTATATGAGTGGATAAAATTACAAGCCTTTAGTACAATAGTAGAAATTATCTGGATCCCGAGCATTTACATGCGTTTACAGCCATTAAACCCAACAATCTTAAACCGAAGTGTTTGACGTGTCAAAGACCAAATTACACATAGGCCAGAAACGGCTGCACTTTACTTTAGGTCCTGTATCCTACACTCATTTGAATGAAAATATCGATTATTCGATTGTTTCAAACGATATATCGGTTGGTTGGTTGGGTTAGGTTAGCCTTACCTAACTAACCAAACGATATACTGTATCGAATGAATCAATCTATTAATCGATATATCTATCGATATTTTCATCCGAATGAGTGTAGGACCTAAAGTAAAGTGCAGCCTCAGAGACAGTTAATACAACTGAACATAGCGATAGGATTATAAATTTTAAGGTTGATAAACTATTTGGTCACGTTTAATGAGTGGAGATACAGTATACCAAATTTGTAGTTTATTAAAAATTGCCGCATCAAATATTTAACATTCTGTATCGATTTTATATTTAGGGGTGCGGGTTCTAAAGTAGGGGGCTAATGGCTGTCACTAAAAAGGGTTACATTGTTTTAATTTGACAAACACATATAGGCATACTATAGAATATTTAATATATTTTATATTTATTAATTAGGCTATACAATTAAGTATTCTTAGATAAATGGATTATTCCCGACGTGGGGCATTCGCTAAAGAGACCAAAAATAAATAATAGCAGGTTTAAAATCCAATGTGTTTGTACACAAATTATACTAACGAGTAACCAGCTGTCTCTGTAAAACAAGGTGAACAATATTTCAGTGGCAAAGTTGGTGCGGACAGTGACAGTGTTGACGGGCGAGAAATGTTATTGTAACAATAAATATCCCTCCTTGGACGTGACAAGGGTACCAACCTACAAGAGGAATCTTTCATTAACTGTTACCATCACTACAGCCTGAATACACTCATATCATATTAGTTATACAGCACAATATAATACAGGGTGATTTGTACTCAGTGTGACAAAATTTTTTTGGCGTAAGTACAAAGTAAATGAAGTGTGATGATGCATATCAAATGTTCCAAGTCTCAAAATTAGCTTCCCAAAAAATAATTTTGTGTTTTTCAAAAATAACCATGCTTTTAAACTTAATACAGCGATTTCTCAATTACCTGTATATGGATTTGAGTAGATAATGTCATTTTCGTGTTCTACATTAAATTTTGAACAAGAATAATGGAAAATGACGGAGGATCAGTTGTACAAACTCCATTGTAAATAGATTCAAAGATAAAAATTAAGATATTTGATAAAAATTGTAAAAACAATGGTCTATTGCATTTTTCACACCCTGTATACAAGAAAGTGTCGGAATAAGTTAAAAACTGCGCCATTTTATAAGCTTTCCAACCATATGCTACACTATTGAGGTTTATGCCTGCTTATGTACGCATTAATGGTTTGAAGACTACAAAGCATGGTGTCTTTAACATTTGAAACATAGAAAGTCGGCATGTATTAAGCAAAAGTTGTATTTTTGTTTCAGCTTGAACAGTAAAAACAGTAAAAAAGTTCCTTGTTTTCTGGTATTCAAACCACTAAAACAAACAAAAAAATATCTAAACCTCAATAGTGTAGCATATAGTTAGAAAGCTTATAAAATGGCACAGTTTTTAACTTATTCCGACACTTTCTTGTATACAGGGTGTGAAAAATGCAATAGACCATTGTTTTTACAATTTTTATCAAATATCTTAATTTTTATCTTTGAATCTATTTACAATGGAGTTTTTGCAACTGATCCTCCGTCATTTTCCATTATTCTTGTTCAAAATTTAATGTAGAACACGAAAATGACATTATCTACTCAAATCCATATACAGGTAATTGAGAAATCGCTGTATTAAGTTTAAAAGCATGGTTATTTTTGAAAAACGTCAAATAATTTTTTGGGAAGCTAATTTTGAGACTTGGAACATTTGATATGCATCATCACACTTCATTTACTTTGTACTCACACCAAAAAATTTTTGTCACACTGAGTACAAATCACCCTGTATATAATATATTGTTAAAAACCCTAAAATCAATTCTCATTTATTGTATTGTATATATTCTCATTTATGACAATATAATATATTGTCACCAAAAACTTGCGTGCCAAGGATGTTAAGCATGACACTAGATGTATTTTGTAAAACCCACTAAACAATCTATAAGGAAAATATATCCCCGCCGCAGCAAACCCTGCAGATGAGTGAGACTTGATTATTTGCCTGATTGGATTTGTACTTACCTCGATGATTTGACAAAGTTCTGAATACTGTTTTTCTTCGGACAAAGTTATGCTATTTCCATACTGACTTCATTGATCTTGAGCCCACGTCCCCATCCAATCTACTTATTATACTTAAAATATCTACGATGTTTTTTATCAAGTCTAAGATACATTTCATGCTCTAGGCAAAAAGCTCCCACTACTTAGATAATTCCTCCCTTATTCGTGGACTCTTTTTACCATTAGGCTTTACTTAATGATATTTAAATTCTTTAAAATATCCGTGACATCAGTTTGTTGTAAGATTTTCAAACAGTTACTGTCCATACTTCCACAGTACATTGAATACTTGCATTACACCCTTGTCGTGGAACCATGGCGTGATTTGAAGCCCATGAACACAATCAGAAGAATATCGATTAAATCCACGAAACTAAATCAAAACAGCTAGTCTAATTCCCGTTTTATATGTGTATATCTATTTCAATAATTTTAATTTAGCATATCTTTAAACCTATCATAATTGATTAAATGTGAAAGTTGCTTTGAATGACAGTACAAGTACATACTACAATAATCAATTACAATAATAGTTTCCCAAAAAATAGGAACTAAGTAATAATTATACATTTAATACAGTCAAAGAAATACTACTTAGGTCCGTTGATAATTTCCATAATTGATTTATTTATCACAATGGAAAATACCAATTTCTAAAATTTCCATTGAAATACAACACTAGCGATACAGTATTAACAACAATAATTCATCAACACGAAGGGAAATAACAATAACATCAACCGTAGTACAATCTTTTTACAATAAATTGTCGTTGAAATAACAATTTTCATGTTAAATTCATCGATGTAATTTATAATCCAACAATTAATTAATTGCTTACAGTAGTATCGTATTAAAACATTGGCTAATTCACTTAACCAAAAACAGTTGTTCTAAACAGCTGATTAGCGAGTC